AAAACACACAACATTGTAAAATCAATACATTCTTCGCTCCGCTCAGAACCTAGAAATTAGGTACAATAGTACAATTGTTTATATAATGTACCTATTTATTTTTCAGATATATGGCTACTGGTGAATCATTGAGATCGTTGGCTTTTTCTTTTAGAATATCTCAGAGTTACATATCTCGTATCATTCAAGTGGTTTTGAAAAGTTTGAGTAAACAACTAACTCCTATTTTGTTAAAATCTCCAACTAAAGAAAATTTAATTCGTGTAGCTGAGAATTTCTGGAATAAATGGAATTTTCCCAATTGTGTGGGTGCCATTGATGGCAAACACATACGAATATTTGCTCCCGGAAAAAGTGGTTCGTTATTTTACAATTACAAAGACTATTTTTCCATTGTGCTTCTTGCAATTGTTGACGCCGATTGCAAATTCATATATGTGGATATTGGATCATATGGCAAGGAAGGAGATAGTGGAATTTTCAACAAATCCATTATCGCAGAAAATATAAGAATCGGAGATTACTTTCCTTCGCCCGGGAAATTGCCAAATTCAAATGAAATATTACCGTATGTTCATATTGGTGATGAGGCATTTCGTCTGGATCGGCACATGATGCGGCCGTACTCGAGAATTGAAGCTCGAAAAGACTACCAAAAAACTATTTTTAACTATAGATTGTCTCGGGCGAGAAGAACAACTGAAAACAGTTTTGGTATCTTAAGTCAGGTATTCAGAGTTTTTTATACGCCTATTTCTTTGAAAACAGAAACAGTAGATAATTTAGTGTTGTCGGCATGTTGTCTTCATAATATTCTTCGCGATCGATATTTAGAAAATACAGACAACAATTATTACAACTTTGATGTCAACGAACTTCCACCATCTAGAAATATGACGCCACTTACAAGAACGGGAGGAAACGCTAATTTCGAGGGATTTGTTATTCGAGATAAATTTAAAAGTTTTTTTAACAGTCCATTAGGGGCTGTTGAGTGGCAAAATCATCAAGCTCAACTAACAGATACACAGTGAATTATAATGTAAAAAATATTATTTATTTATCTATGTATTTGGTGCCTTATTCGAATAGAAATATAGAAATATATTTAGTATTGTTTGTATGTTAAGCATAAGTTATATTTTACATTTTTACATATTTTACATATTTCTCAAAATATCGGACGACGCCGGAAAGATAACCAACCAGTAATACCAGAAATATTTATACACGGTATAATCTAAAAATAAAATGTACTACAGCGTACAATCTAAATTTAGTTAAATAATAATTTTCACCCACCTTATAAATAAATAAATAATGTTATATTCTTTAATTTAGTATGTATATTAGAATAGTTAAGTATAAATTAATTTTGAAATGTAATATTTAATAATTATATTGTAATGTATAATTACCATTTTTGTTCATATCTTCAGATATTTTTTGCCAAACATTATCCCTCACTCCTTGATTTTTATACAAAGCGTGTTGGGCATTAAAAATGCAAGGATGTCCACTTACTAATTCTGCTAATTTAACGTCTTCTTCTGGAGAAAACGTAACTTGTGTTGACCGTGACATTTTTAAAAATTTATGAAAAAATGTATAATATAAAAATGAACACACAGCCGCGCGCGTCCGCGATTTGACTCCTTTTCGAGCAGTCGCTAATCCGCAGTCGCGACCGTCGCGCGCTGCAGCGACTCTCATAGGAATCGGTTTCATCTATCAACAAGTAAACAAGTGCAACGCGGCTGAGATTTGAATATAATATAATATAATATAATATAATAATATAATATAATATAATAATATAATATAATAGAACTGTATATATTGCTTCACATGTTTCTGGTATAATAGTAGAATATTTTAGACATTCATAGGTTCTTTCGGTCGCTAAAAATCTTAAGGTGTCTGTCAATCTTTCATGAGGTGATATAGCATTCCTCATTACAGTATTTTGTTATTGGATTAGTGGTGTTACTAAAGAAAGAAGGTGCAAATAGGTATTTCCATTCATTCACAAATAATTATTAAAATCTTTTGGAGTAATTCTCAATTCATTTAACAAATTTGTTTGTGAATATTTATTTCTTTTTAGTAACCATTCTTTACACCATAAGTTACGTTTTTTACGTTTTTTATTTTTTAAAATACACATTAGTCCGAGAATTGCAACAGCATCATCTCTCGTCGCCATGATGATGTTATAGCATAGCTATGCTCGATTACTAATAACGATTTATTTCGATTGTACAGTCAAATCACTCAGTTATAACTGAAGGTCACACACCTCAGTTTTGGTGTTAATGCAGATTGGTTGTGCTTTAGTTTTTCCAAAATGATCGATACTGATGATGAAGTTATTATTGCTAGTGCCGCGTACATTGTTATGAGTACTATTGTTAAAAAAAAAAACAAAATCAAAAATTAAAAAAATAACGCCGGTTTTGGGTCAGTGATATTTTTAAAAACCACGTACTTTATAGTGGGTCAGATTTATTAAATGATATAAAAATGAACGACGCTATTCATTTTTCAAATTTCTGTCGAAAGAACAATAGTTATTTTGAAATGCTACTTAAATTGATTGACCCAAGATCGCAAAATATGATTCGCATTTTAGAAAATCTATACCTGCAAATACTCCTCGTCACTGTCGTCAAATACTGCAGTGTATTCCAAGCTGCGTCCAATTTATGGTCATCCGATGAAGATTTCTTTTTTTTAAAAGTTTTTTAGGAGATGCAAATACCTTGCGTTTAGGCCCTTTACTTGGGCTTACTTCATTTTGCATAATTTCAGTTGTTTCCACGTTAATCACATTTTCAATACCTCCTTGGGGACTTTTGTCAGGGTTATTCACGTTAGTGTTTTCATAGAGTAGGTCATCAGATGAGTCATCTGCAGCTGACTAAAAATTAAAATACATTTATATTATTTCAGAACTTTTTGATAATAAAATATTTATAAATTTTTAACTAACAAATAGTTAAAAATATTCTAATAAAAAAAAAATTGTGGCTATGTATTTTTATAATTTTTGAATGAGAGTTAGAATAAGTTATGTGGACCCTTCAATTAAATTTTCAAGTAATTTGTCCCAGCTAAATTTTTTTTATCAACATTTATAAAAAAAAAAATACAAAAATTGATTATTTCAAATGCCTATAAATAGCTCAAAAAAAGTCAAAATATTTTGAAAATCAAATCGCGCAAAGAAAATTGGGATCTTAAAAACTGGTAAAATTTTCAAGTATTTACGACTTATACTATTTGAATATCAACAAATATCAAAAATCGTTTGAGGCTAAACCGTTATTTAACGCGGTTTTGTAAAAATTTAAATTTTAAACACTCATAAAATTTTTTTGTCTGAATCCGAAAGAGTTTTTTTTATAAGAAAAATTTATGGAGAACCTTGTACCAAATTTTCAAAACTTAGTAATAAAAGAAAAAAATTTTACGGTTTTTCAACCACAAAATTACTTGCAAATTTTCGCAATTTTGACATATTTCGTATAAATTCGAACTTTAAGCACTTATAAAAAAAAATTGTGATGTTTTTTATCACTTTAAGAGCAACTTATAAGAAACCTTATATTAAATTTTCAAGATTTTCTGGCCGGCCAAAAAGTTTTTATCGTTATTTAAAAAAAAAAAACACTTAGAAAAATTGAAAATTTTAATTGTCTATAAATAACTAAATAATTCTTTGAAAATTTAACTGTGTATGGAGAACGCTAATATAAACATTTGGTGAAAATTTCAAGTATTTAAATCGATTAGTTTTTGAGTTATAGCAAAATAAAAAATTCGATTTTGTCGAAAACTGGTTTTGCGTAAAAAATCCCGTTTTTCCCTCATTTTAAGAATATTGAAAATTTTTAACTCTTTACCCCCCAAAGTACCAACTAGATTTAATTTCTTTTTCAAAGAGGGGCTGAAGTCAAAAATGGAAGCATTTTTACCACTTCAAATGTTGTTGACAGACTCAAATAAAAAAAAAAAAAAAAAAAAAATGAAGTATTATCAC